TGCGTCCGGAAGACGGACCGTGGGCATGGGGTACCACCACACGGGAATGAGACTTCGGAACTATCGTCACATCCTGAACCCAAGTACAAATCTTTCGCACTTCTCGCGCTGGCGCCCGACCGCAGCTGCACTCGCCAACTATGTTTTCGTTCGGTCCCATATGTTATAGTTCCCCTTAAAAAGATGTGCATTTTGGATGGTTTTATGTTAATATGTTATCAGGTTCACGGGGGCGTACATGCGTTGGAGGACCCTAATTCTCCAGCGCAACAGTATTGCACGTCATTGCGGGAACGGCCACCCGTGTACACATGACAGTTTGTAAAAGCGGGTATCCGGCACGATGCACAGATCCAACGGAGATTGTGTGCTCCGGCCCTCGTGCACGCTCTCACTGCCGAAGGGTTTTACTAAAACCCTAAAACCCTTGTCGGCATGCACTTTTGCGTACCTACAATACTAACTTGAGTACTTACGAAGGCTCTTGAAGTGTTTCGGGCAACCGACAGATCATACGTCGGTATCGCATAGTCGGAGACAGTCACCAGGGTGTAGTCAAAACGAGTACACTAATAGTAATGAGTGCTAAATCTGAATAAGTGAACTCAGTCAGAAGTGCCATATTGGATGACACGTCTGCTGTATTTATTAATCACGTTCATATGTGGGTGATGACGTCCGATGGGTCATCCTGCTCTCTTATTAAATTCTATATTCCACTATCTGGTCCGGCTCCCTGGTCCGGTCCTGAAATAATCCACTTAGGTTCGGTCCTCTGGTCCGGTCCTAAATCCTCGTCTAAGGTACTTTGTCCACAGCGCCGTCAAGTTGAGTGTTGGTGTGTTCTCAAGAATATTCACGCTAATTTCTGTGATAGTAATAATAAATAAAATACAAGAGGTAGTATCCTACACGGACCGTGGGGTTATTGCATTGTCGTAATTATTATTTGTATATTTTATCGTAATTGTTGTAAATAGATTTTTGTGAGCAAACTGCCAGTCAACTGTAAATAGACAAAAGTACCTGTTGAATATTATATCATTTAATATTGTTTGAAATATCTTCTTTTATTATTAGGTAATAGCTAAAAATATCAACCTCTCGATGTACAATATAGGCGTGAAATGTATTAATGACCCTTTTTATCGGAAAGAGTTGGTATTGTAATAATAGAGAACGAAGTCGCTCAATGTACATCGAAAATGTGGAAAAGTCACTAAATGTACATTCACCCTTTTTCTCGATGAAAACGTACTGAAATATTGATCAAATATGTACAAATATACATTTAGCGACAAATCCAATTTTTCTGTATATTTAGTGACTTGATCTTGCAAAACTTGCTATAATTTATATTAAAGAGCCTTCGGCTATGTCCATATTTTACGAATAAGTATTGAAAGGGGTTATGTTGTCTTTTATTGATTGGTGCTGATTTATGCTGCTTTATTAAAGCTTAGCTCACTGCCTGGCTCGTAACCCACGTGGTCTGTGATGCTCCTTTACAAGAACATACGAGAATAGTGTTTCGGAAATCCTTTTTTTAATTCTATTGTCATGTTGGACGCTTGTGACATATTCGTGCGAAGACAATGCCCCCAAATCATGCACGAGTTGTGGATTTTCTGATACTGCTCTAAAACCCACAGCTAAAACTGTCGTGTTGGTTTATACCGCCTACTTTTAGGCTGTATGCAACATTATTTGTGAGGTAACATTTCATATATCGTATTATATAATTGAATTGTTCGTCAGCTCTATCAAGATTTGGCATACCATCTAAAATAGTAACTGTAGTGTTTGTTTTGTACAATGTATCAATCGTTGCTATGATTCCATGGGATCAATACAGAGATCCTTTCGGACACCTGTCTGCCCTACGATACTTGTATAAGTCCTTCATACATACATACATACATGCAAACATACATATATTTACATACGTACATACATATAAACATACAAACAGACATAAAAGCATACATACATACACATGCATACATACATGCATGCATACGTACATACATACATGCAAAGCTCGCTTACAGATTGTATTACTGACCATTGTGTCCGGTGCGCAGTCTGCGTCTGGTGCTTGATTCAGCTATCTTCGTTGTCTGTCTACGTCGAGCTACTGGTAGCCTTTACTCCTAAGCCGTTGGTTTCTGGATTATATGGTTGTGCAATTTATATACTAGGTAGTGGCTATGTGTTGATCGCCTGATGGCAGCGAAAGATGTTTGTTATGTAGCCTGAAGAATTTATAAGTACCCGGAGCGCTACTATAAAGCTGTTGGCCGAACATCATTGTAAGCCCTTGATATTTGCAGCCGCGAAATTGCGTATTTGCAATTCTTGTTTGTGTATTCAATCAAAAATTGCAACTTAGGAATAACATCTCAACTCACCTGGGCACTAGTTAAGCAGTACTGTACGGACCCAGCATAAACACTCCCTTCGTTTATATCATCGTGATCTGCTGTATGCTCTGAAAGCTCTGCCGCATAGCCTTCCAATTGACTGGCTATCTGCTTAAGGTCAAGCTGGAGTGGCTTATCAGAATACGAATTGTACTGAATATGAAAACTATTTAATAAATCGAGGGACATTGCTGTTTCTTTCATATACAATAGTAGTTACATATAGTGGCGATTCACTACTTCTTGGCAGGGAGCCAACCGACTTTGACAGATAAACATTCACAGATAGATCCGATTATTATAAGAACTGCACATGTCTTGGAAAGCGGCACTGGAGTCCCCACGATATCAATCTGCACTACTCGATAAAAGTATAAATCATTGTTCTTCTGCCTTACATTTCATGCCCGGCAATCTTCCTCTATAACTGATCGAAAATCTTGTATATTTCTGTATCAAATCAGCTTGCCTGAGTCTTTTTCTTTGTTGTCCTTCCTCACGCTGGACGATAAAAACATTTTATTCTTCTTCTGACGTTTTAAACGTGCAGCGGTCCTAGCTTCGAGCTCGTGGTCAACGGCTTCTCACATGCGTAGAAATTGGAAACAACGATGGAACTGCCTTGTCCTTCAGTCTTCGTTTTGGATTCGGATTAAATAATTTCTTCCTTTTTACGTGCTTTGAAAAGTCAGCAGCCGTTAGTAGATGAAAATATTCATCTCTAAAATATTTACTGCAATAATACCGGTGAATATAGCCTCCTTTCGACGATGATGTCGTGAAATATTTTGTCGGCCAATGCACCTGGTACGCATGCGTTCACTGATAGAACAAAGATAGTTCTGAATCATCTGGTCAGTGAAAGAAACTGATACGGACAAGTGTGATCTAAACGTGTGCCTGACTGGCCGTCTACAACACAATTAACCATAGCAGCTCGAATGTAGAAGAAAGTGAATATACGGTAAATAGCTACACTGTACGTATTATTGTGATCCTTTTGCATTGTAGTCTCACAGAAGTTATATGAACACGATGCCGCTCAATTCATTTGTACCAATTGCCTTATCTTAATTTAATTACTAAATTTTGGTTCGTTGTTATATTTTTAGATTTCCGGAAATATCGGACAAAGTAAATTTAAGCGGAATTGGTATATACCCTTTTGTACCAAGCAAAAAAGTCAGAGGGCCTGTCCTACGAACTTTAGTCCGTTCAGGTATATTTTTTTAATTCTCTAGAGGGTCATGGTATTTATTTCTGACCTCACCTTTGGTTATACCTAAGGTGTTTGTGCTAGTGTTCAGCCACTTGGGCTGGCCAGGGCAAAAACTCATATGGTCAGTATTTCGATGCTATTCTATTTCGACTTTTCTGCATCTAAATCTCACGCTGATCACATGATGCCTTTCCGCATAGGTTGTTACTCACATAGAACCGCACTTATTTTTAGAATGTTGCCGTTGGCAGACTTACATAATCCACTCTCGGGAGTTGGTTGAGAAACCCAATCTGCTCTCGGGAGTCGGTTAAGTATAAACTCAACTCTCGGGAGTAATTTAAGCAACTTGATTAGCTCTCGGGAGTGAGCTAACTCTGATGACTTCTATAAATCAAATGTATTTTTTTGCTGTAGAATTTGGCCTGAGACCAGTAGTCTCAGTTATTTAGAGAATTGAGCACAACCGGCGATGACTCGACGTGCTCGACAGATCTCTAAACAAGTCCCTGAGGCATATGCAGGGGCTACGGTAATTAACCACCCAGGGCATGAGGAAGCTAATCGTCAAGTGCAGTTGACGTGGCAATTTCATGAACAAGGGTACCCTGCACCGGTTGTTACTGTACAACAGATGAGGGATGACGGACATAATTGGGACCAGATGCTTCCAATTACAGAACAAGTCCGTAAACTATGTCGTACATGCTTAGGCAATGATACCATGAAGAAGGGCTTCCATCCTTTACTGTAAGTATTACAGCACGGTACCCGTACTCATTCCTAAGGCAGCCACATCTACTAAGGGCAACAAGATTATTCTGCATGTTTTGGATGTAGCGTCGGGGTACTCTATACTTGGGCGATACCTGCGAAGGATGCAAGGACGGTGGCGACAGAATTAGTGTCGGTGTTTGGTGAGCATGGGTTTCCTCGTAAGATTCAGAATAACGAGGATACTGAATTTGTGAATAATATCGTGAAAACTATTACACGGGCACTCGGAATTATACGCAAGACATCTCAACCATACCGCCCTCAGACCTTGTGTGCGACGGAGCGACGGCACAAAGAAATTCACAAATGTGTACGCGCACTATATGTTGGCTGACCGGAACTGTGAGATGAGCGTCTACCGTTCACTATGCTTTACCAGAACCTTCGGATATCACGTCGTCGCAAGTCGGCACCATTCAGTGTTTTTTTTTGGTCGCCGCCATGTTTCGTTCGTTGACATGACTGACGACTTACCTGGCCATATTCCTACGACGAATGATGCATGGTTAAAGCGGTTGAATGAACTGGAAAAGATTATCCTGCCGAAACTTCATTAGAAAACGATAAAGTATACTGATGCTATGGCGGAGGCTACTGACCAGATGCGTAAGTTTGATTTGATTGAATTTAAGACGGGTGACGTATTGATGATACTCGCACAGGGGGCGACGACCAAAGCTATGAAACCACTGCTTTGCCCATACTTCATTCATAGTCGGGAGAATCAGAGTTACTATTTGCGGGTGAAGGATGTAAGTAAGCCACCTGAACTCAACGACCGTCCAGTTATTGATGAGATTATCTGACTAGTTCATCGTGCTACGGAGCCACCGTTAGATGAATCGATGTGGAGAGAATGGGGCGCGACATTTCGACGCATCATCGCACACCGCTATAATGGGGCGACACAGCAATCTGAGTACTTGATACGCTGGTTGGAAGACTCTCATACATGGGGATCCCAGCGTAGAAGGATCAGAGAAATCTACACAGGAGTGGTGATCCCAGCGTAGAAGGTTCAGAGAAATCTACCCAGGAGTGGATCGTGCGGTCTAAATTACACAATCACGAGTGCTGGTTGTGTTTGGCAAATAAATCTATATGCTTAGAGTGCAGATGAGACCCCTATTTATTCTAACTCAAAGGCGAGCAACCCTGAGGACACGGCGCATTGAACTTTGTGAGAGCTCGGTTATCACCCGCATCTTCGAGCGTGTTGCGTGGCACCCAGTCAGAATATGTATGAGATTTGTTTATTATATGCTGAGAGTGCAGGCGAGTACCTTGTACGCTCTTAATCAGAGGCGAGCAACCCTGAGGACACGGTGCATTGAACTTTTCATGAGCACTTTAGAGTCGGTGAGTTACCGCAGCTTCGAGCATGCTGCATCGTCGCCCTGAGTGGTGTTGGGTTGGATAGCATTATTACGTAGAAGGCGGAACATGTGAAGGCGCTGAGACGGAGCCACAAAAAGCGTGCCCAACCCGAGTCTCATGAGATTCACCACGCCACACTCTCATAATCACCTTTGACCAAGCCTATAATACAAAGCCTAGACATCTATATATTCGAAAACGAATTCTTTGTCTGGGAAGGCAACAAATGCACAACCGCTATCGCACCACCAGACACTACGAACAACAGTACATTCCTCCAAATCGAGAATGGCGATTTCCAAACCGACGCAAGGACATCATTGACAACGGAAGATATGCTTAGCCAACGAGCCCAGCCATCTGCCACATAAAAGTCGAGCAACTCAGAACAACTACAAATAACTTCATCGTCAACACAACAACCTGCTGAGAGCGAAGTACATACCGGTGAGTCAGAGACTCCCGCAGCGACTACCAAAATACAACACGATCTCGAAGCAATTATAGCTAGAAGAACGGCAGAAGGTCAAAGTCTCTCGAGAACTGCGAGACCTTGCGATAGATGATAATAATGTCAACTGGTATCACGATAGCCGCTGCAAGAGACGATCTCCTGGCACTACGCACACTGTTAATTCAGCAACTGCAGCAATGTAACCGAAAACATACAAAGGTATATATGAGATGCCAAACGCAGCCGATTGGGAGGAATCAGCACGTTCGGAGTTAGAGAGCTTGGTGATACAGCGCAAGGCATTCACTCTGGTTGACAACAAACCACGGGAAAAATCTCTATCTCCCCCTCGATGGGTATTCAAGGCAAAATCGGATGAATCAGGATAAGTCACACGGCTCACACGACTTAAATCACGTCTGAACGTAGCAGCATTTAACGCAAAACAGGGAGTTGATTAGCTACGAAATATGTATTTCATACACGGTGAAAGCTATCAGTAGTAGCCAAGGAAACACTCAGGATCTGTCTAGCTCTAACGGCACACTGCGACACGGACATTCGACAATACGATACACCCTCGGCCTATCTCACTCTAATAGTTTAAGCCATGGCGGTATACAATATTTCGGTTACATATATCCAGCTCCCCTGTTGCGAGGGCGCTGGAACACACTTGGGATCCCATGTCGAACGTATCCCGTATTCGATTGCTTTCAAGACCTTCGACGCTCCATGCACTCAATATATTATCATTGGCTTCCGAAGTCTGAGATACTAGGAATACCACCGGTACCAATAAATCTCAGACTTCGCAAGGTAATAATAGTATTATGAGAATCTGGCCGTCTTTGTTGTCCTTTGTGTCGGTTCGTCGAGTAATCTTAAATGCAAATTCATGTTGACGCTTCTTAGCAGTATGAATATCCCTACGGTGTGCCAGTTGTTGTATTTAGGGCAAATATATCTTTCCATCAATGCAGCGCCGATCCTTTCTAGATGAACACAGATATTTCAACTTCGCGGTACGGAGCATGTCTTGTTACAATTCAGATACGATAGATCCCAACAATGTTTTGTACGGCTGTATTAGAGTAGACGTGTTTTACCAAGGAGAAACCGTCAACTAAATTCGGTTAATTTCCAAGATACGGTTCAACTTCGCCTGACTTGCAAATTTAATACAAAGCATTGACCAGATACGACAATAACACCCTGGTTTGTATTGAGTGTAATTTGTAGCGCTCATGAGCGCTGGGTTTCCGCAACAAACAATGCACAATCATAGGGCATGCACCGTATCTACTCTCACATCAACCGTATGGGGCTTGGCCGGTGACATACTTGATGGCTTGTGGAATCCACTTCCATATGAACAAAGCAAGATTTCCCCCCTAGCCGCCCGGGTCCATCATCTACCGTGACCTTGCTGTACAATTGGTTTTGTATTTATGACAATATGTCGAAGGCACAGCGATTCGATCTTGCAGTATGTAAGTGTTATTACCTCTGTTAGGATGTTTTACAACAGGGTATGTTGGTCAACTGAGAATCCGGGCAGATTCCGTTGGTATTTCTAATACTTCCACGTCAAATCATGCGAATAATTTTTGCAGTCTTAAAGGTGAAGATCCAAACTAAACCGGTCATTGATTGCCCAACGAATGGCGCAATGTATCTATACTATTCAATAACTTTATTTAACCGAACACATCCCAGGCTTCATCGTCCGCAGCTGCGATGTCAAGTTTCGGCGGCTTGATGATTTGCACGGGAGTATTGGTTGTCTCCAGCCCAGTACTGGCACTATTTGAGCTATCCATTTCTGGTGTTCTATCAGTACTTTGATTGCTACGTTGCAAGCCTCTCTCTTCATACGGTTCCCACAGCAAGTGCGAGACACAAACGTCTTTATGCCCACTCAGAAAGGATGTGAGGAATGACGTCTCTGACTCGTGCGCGGACCCCAGCCTGAACGGGAGTGTCTGATTGGTAATGTATCTAGCCTTCTGTCCTTCAACATCTCGGCTCGCTTTTTCTGCTAGTTTGCTATTGGAGTATGCTCTGCTTGTACTGTCTTTACTGCACACATTCGTACCAAATGCCCCGCAGCGATGTGCGCACTGGCAATCCCTTCCTTTCCATATCTGTTCACGGTCAGGTGAAATGAGATGCGACGCGATGCGAGCGAATGAGCATGTTTACCTACCATTTCAAACATCTTTACCTACCATATTATGTCGAAAATGAGTGCATACATACATCGTAGTTGAATCATTTGCGATATTTCGTATAACTGATTTGACAGAATTGGGATATATTTGATCAAGAGACTACAACCGATCTATGTTTAATGGGGGACTACATGTCTATTCGCATTCGTTGAGATATTCAATAGCGTACAGTGTTGTACAAAATGACCACTTAAAAGCACACCACGCAGTATAGAGTATAGACACAGTGCAACCACGAGCCCTACTAGTTATTCATATATACCACCGCACCAGTCTGCTCGATAGTCACTCACCTCGACTACAAGCACGTTCCTGACTCCTCCAGTGACGGGTGTCACATGGTGAGGTTTGTGACTGACAAACACCACGGCGTCGCCACGTTCAAATCCAGGACGCACTATGGACCGATCGGCCTCCTCTGTTTGCAGGTGACCTCCTGTGGGTATATATAATGAACTGAATAAGTTAAGAGTGATGAATGCTGATCAGTCGTGGTGGTCTGCGGTACTTTACCTACTTGTAAGGAAGGAGTGCTTGAAGTTGTTTGCTGTGAACCCTGTGGATATAGTATGATCGCCAACTCATGACGTACACACCGAATCTATAACTGGAAATGAACTCATTTGATGAGATACAAGTACAGTACAATCTGAAAGACATAAGATCACCATACTGAACTCCTCGCACCTTGGGAGACTGCGGCACCAGAAAGTACAGGCAGATTAAAACAGTACTGATTAAATGAAAAAGAATTCTCTGTACGCACAAAGATGTCAATGCATCTAAGGATGACAGACTGTCCCAATAAGGTAAGGGCGCATGAGAATACTCGCAAGCACGCGATAAACGAATCAACAGATGTATGTAGATGATGAGCATCGAATGCACCATCAAAACTACACATGTGTCTGAATGTGAGAAACCGAACACTTCCTTCTCTAAAGTGTTCAGTTAGCGTATGCGATGTAGTTTGATTGACACATGAGTTCACATTAAGGCACACACGATCCTCTCAGATCCCCGTGAACATATACACGCTGAAAAGTTAATGTGTAGTCACTGCAAGGTGTTTCGCGTAGCTACACAGGATTACCAATAAAACAGGGTCACACACAGAGTTGAGACAAACATAGTACAGTTTTGAATGTTCAACTACAGAGACAAACACGGGCACACGCATAACTTGCACTGAGACTTACTTCAGATATAAGTGGCAAACGTGACTTTCTAAAGAGCATTGAAATAAAAAAAATCTACACAGACAGTCTGTACATACCAGGTACGCAGTCAACTACACACTAGGGGTTATATACCTTCGTAGTCCTTTCCAGGAGCAGCCAGCATCATGTCGATTGTAACCAGTGAGTCTAAATCATAGTGTCTCGGATCAGGCAATGCACCATGCATCTCCATCTTGTGGTACTCTGCCACACGCACCCCGTATTCACTATTTCGATGCAATGTTTACACAAATATAAAAATAAAAATAAAAATGAATATATATACACATACATATTCATATACTTATACACACACACACACACACATACACACATATATATCATATATATATATATATATAAATGTATATACATACATACATATAAACTCATATATATATATATATTTATATACATGCATACATGCATATACATACATACATATATATATATATATATG